TTGACAGTAACCTGCTCAGAAGGTCTTCCTGTTCTGACGCACAAACCAGAGATTTCTCAGATGAGGACACTGACCAGATTAAATGATCCCTGAGACCCACAGGGGCAGACCCTACTTTTGAACCCAGGTCGGTGTGATGACAAAGCCCTTCCCAGGACACCACACTGTGTCTTAACACAGTTCTGGGTCAGGTATGTGTCCAAAAAATTGAAAAAGGAGGGATCGAATGAAGCACAATTACTGCCCTTTTCCAAGGAGCACGAGGAGAAAGCAGCAGTGGTGTTTCTGCTCAAAAGGTCTAGACCAGTGCTCCTCAAATCCTAGTGTGCTTATGAGTGGGCTGGGGGGGTCCTGATAAATTGCAGATTTGGATTCAGTAGTTCTGAGGAGGGGCCTGAGAGTCTGCCTTTTTAACAAGTCCAAGGTGAGGCCAAAGCTGCTGTTCTGCAGACCACACTTGGGGTCTAGAGTAGGCTCTCGACCAGTGGTTCTAAGATGGGGGCAATTTCGTCCCCATCCCCTATCCTGGGGACATTTGGTAATATCTGGAGACTCTTGGTATCGCTACTGGGAGTGGAGGGCAGTGCTACTGGTATCTCGTGGGTAGAGGCCAGGGCTGCTGCTAAACATTCCCCAATGCACTTGGCAACCTCCCACAACAAAGAAGTATTAGCCCAAATGTCAATTGCACAGAGGCTGGAAACCCTGTCCTAGAGCTCAAGTCTTCTAACCTGGAGAGAGTTTGCTGGAAACTGCTATGAACTATTTACTTTTGTTCATGAAAGAAAACAATACACACTTAAAAATCTCCCATATATATTAGAGAGGCACATGCAGGGTAAGGGGGCGTGGAGAAGACCAGTGACAATGGAGCATGATTAAGATTGCCATGTGACCTGGGAGGAACTCTATGTATGTGTCTGTATTAAACTCCTCCAATCAAGGACTTGGCAATACAAAACCAGGGAGCCCAGTAGCCTTGGAAACACTTTTCATCTTATCTCATGTAGCAGCAAAAGAACAACAAAAGATACTTCTTTCTGTTATGATTTATCCTCCAGGATATCTTGATGATAAAATTATTACTATAAACCTAGAGTAGAGGAGGTCAGCAAACTTTTTCTGTAATATTAAGTAAATATCTTAGGCTTTGCAGGTTCTAGGGCCCATGTCACAACTACTTCACTCACCCACTGTAGCACAAAAGCAGCCAGAGACAATAACAGTGAACCCATGGATGTGGCTGCATTCCAATAACACTTCATTTACAAAAATGGCACCTGGTCGCATGACCCATGACAGCAGTTTTGCTGACCTCTAGTCTACGTGTTCAAATAAATGTGGGGCCAGCTGTAGATCCCATGTTAGTTGTGACATGAGCAGCTGCATTTTTTTTTATCTGCCTCCTTTCGTTTTATAGGGGTGGGGAGAGGGTGACGAACGCATTGCAATAGGTACAAAAAAACAATGGTTTCCCTGACTGACCCAATCACTGTGAAAACAGCTCAATCCAATAATTTTATTATCTCCCTCCGAAGTTGACACCAAGGCTCTCTAATTTATCACCAAGCATTTAACTCCTAAGATTTGCTTGGCATTACTGGAGTTTGTGGGGAATCCAAAAAGAAAAGTCACAGTCCATGTTCTTAAGGAGTTTGGGGGCTGGTACGGTGATAAGACACAACAAGGAACTTCAAATGCCATAGATAGATGATCTGTTAAAGGCACATGTGACATTTGGAAAAAATGGAACCTGGGTACATTCTTCTGTTACCAAAATAAATTTTAATTGATTTGAATACTTAAGTGTAAACAAAATGAAACCATAGTTTCATAGTTAGAAGGGGTATACAGTTTTTATAATCTGGAAGTTGGGAGTCTTTCTATTGAGACCAGGACCTCAAAAGCCACAAAGGAAAGATCCCATAAGAATAAAAAGTATCTACATGAGAAAAAGTCTGCCGTAAACAAGATCCAAAAGAACTGGGTAATTATTTTTAATACACATGGCATATAAAGAGTTTGATATTACTCAATCTTGTGAACTTGAAAAACAAAATCAATAGAAAACGATGACTAGACTAAAGGAAAAGTGGTCATAATTTACAGAAGTACAAATTGCCAATTAATTCTAAGTACCTGAGTAGAGGCTAAGAAAGTAAATAAAGGGGAAAAATCCAGACAAACATCGATTGACATTCATCACCATCACACAGGTCAGCTTCAGTCTTGGCTCCCTGGATCACATGCTCTGCAGCTGCTCTTGCTGAGGACGCTCCTGCCTGGAAGCCATGCTGACAGATGCCGCATGGAACCACTCCAGTCCCCAGTCTCAGCTGTGGCAGCCTTGAGTCATCCCATCCCAAGGGTCAGACAAGAGAACGAAGATGCCTGCAGATGACTCCAGCTCCCAGCTGTTGAAGTCACTCCCAGCTTTTCAGTTCTTCCAGGCTGAGTCCCAAGACGTTGTGGACACTGTGTGTGTGTGTGTGTGTGTGTGTGTGTGTGTGTGTGTGTGTACTCTAAAATCCTTACCCCCAGACTCCATGAGCAGAATAAAGTCATGGTGGTTTTACCCACTGAGTTTTAGCTGGTTGGTTGACAGAGTAAGAAAGTGAACACTGCTCACCATAAACAAGGCAGCCGAAGCCACTCATCTCTGGCCAGAGGTTGATGTAGGAGGGAAGCTATATCAGGAAGGATCTTGGAGGCCAAATGGAACACAACAGCTCACCCAGCTACAGCCCAGGGCAGGACCCTCGTACCTGCAGTGTGAGGACCGTCTTAGCTACCGGGATTCAAGAAAGCCCAAGCAATTGGAAAAGGCTGAGAGCAGGACCAGCACTGGGCATGGGCGGTCAGGTACATGTCCATTCATTGGTTGTGCTGCTCATCCAGACACCCCACCATGACCCAGCTCCCAGCTCCACTGCACTCCCTAGCTTCCGCCTGGTTCCCTGTGGGCTATGTTAGTGTAACGGCTGTGTGGCTCAAGCACCCAGTTGGAACTGGGCAAGTAGGGTAACTTCATCTAAGACAGGGAACCTAGCAGAGGGCTAGGAGCTTGGCTTCTAAAGCCAGACGCCCCAATCTCAAATCCCCGTAGACTGTGTTGTGTGAATTTGACAAATGTTTTTGACCTTTCTGGGCTTCAGTTTCTTCATCTCTAAATTGATGATAACAATCATTAATCCCAGAGAGTTGTGATGAGGCGTTAATGCATGTAGAGTGATTAGAAGAATGCCTGGCACACAGTACACATTCAAATGGGTTTAATTACTTTATATGTAACTTTAGAAGTTACAGCTTTGGCATTAACCTCTGGGGCACAGACAGTCAAGAATATAAGAGGAAATAACCGAGCGAGTGAATGCTGCAGAATATAACAGTAATCTCTCTAATGACTCAGACAAGTGCCCCCCCCCCNCTCCCACAACGGATGGTGGGCTATGCCCACCCGCAACTAAGATTGAACACGGCACCTTGAGCTGAGCTGCCATGAGCTGCTGACGGGCATCTGGATGGTGACTGGATTTGGAGCTGAGCTAGCTGCGCCCTCCACAACCAAGATTGAAGGACAATAACTTGGCTGTTCCCCTTCTCTAATTCCCTAATAAAATCTTAAAAAAAAAAGAGGTACAAAAGAGCACAGAGTGAAAAAATTCCTTTTTAGAGCAATGAAAATACTTTGTTTGATACTATACATGTGATTCATGCATGTGATTATATATTTTTCAAAACCCATAGAATGTACACCACCATGAGGGAACCCTAATGCCAACTATGGACTTTCAGTGATTTTGATGTGTCATGTAGGTTCACCCTTGGAAAAAAATGTACCTTATGGGTGATTGATGTTAATGGAGGAAGCTATGAATATTTGGAGGCAAGGAGTAGCTGGGAAATCTCAATTTTGTTGTAAACATAAAACTGCTCTAAAAAACAAAATGAAACAAAAACAAAACAAACAAAAAACAATAAAAAATTCCCTGTCTCCACTTATTTTCTCTTCCTGAAGGCAACCAAAATTCTACATATGATAAGACATGTTAAGAAGTATGCATATTCTTCTCCCTTCTTTTGTTTAAAGCAAATAGTAACAGAAAATTCATATTGTTGAATATATATGTATTTGTTTTTTTCATTTAAATTGTACCTTGGATATTATTCCATATGAGGGCATAAAGAGTTTCATCTTTCTATCAGATAGTTTCATAATATTCAGCCAAATATCATAATTATTTAACAAGTTCCCCCTGCTGGATGTTTTAATTTATTTTTGTTTCTCCACAGTATGTTGTGTTAGCTTGCACATATATATCTTGCAGATGTGTGAGCATATCATAAAATACCCTTAGAAATGGAATTGCTGCATCAAAAAGTATGTGAATTTCCAGTTTTGACAGATTGTTTTGTTTTTGTTTTTTTTTAGTTGAGCCACCCTGCCACCTGTTGGCAGCTCAGTACGGGCCAGGAATTGAACCGCTGTTGCTCAGAGCTCGCACTCTTGAGCAAGCTCTTAACCAACTGAGCCACTCGGCCTGCCAGATTGTTTTTTGACGGAGTCTGTACCAGTAACACTCCAGCCAGCAATGGATGAGAGCTCTGATGGCTGGTGAGGCCTTGACATATTTCCTTCCAGGCTTATTTTTCTTGATTTTTCCATGGCCCCATTTCCTCATCTTTAAAACAGGAATAACAGTACTTAACATGTATGGCGATTATAAGGAGTTAATATATGTAGAGGGCTTTAAACAAAGCCCGGTCCATAATGAAGATGTAAATACAAGCAATTATTTTGAAAATTCTATTACAAGGAAGGCTAATCATTGACATTATGTGAAACTGAGTACTTACAACTTTGGCATTAACCTGTGGGGCACAGACAATCAAGAATAAAAGAAGAAATAACCAAGTGAATGCTGTGGAATATAACAATAATCTCTCTAATGACTCCAATAAGCATGCCCCCTCCATCCCCCCATGAGCCCACCCAGGCTCACAAGGGCTCCTGGGTTCCACAGAGCCAGTCCTGTCCCCAGGCCCAGGTTCTCCATGGCTGAGCATACACGGGACTCCGGCCGCACCAGGTGACACCAAACTCCAGGGTCTACGGCCTCCACCATGGAAGACACTTCGCCATCACACAAAACCACCGCATGTGGAACCATCTCTTACCCAGAAGATCATTATGTCCACAATTCCCAGGAGCACCGCGTTTTCCCAGAGAGAGAACACAGGGCATATGCACTAAAGGGGACAGGGCGGCCCGGTTTTCCGGTCCCGTGGGCGCTGCTCCCTGTGGGTCCATCGTGCACAGGAGGAAGCTCTTGGGTCCTGCTGCTGGAGAGGATGGCAGGGTCCCCTCTGCAGGCAGCTCCATCCCTGGGGCCTCAGGGTCCCCTCAGCCGAACATCTCCTGGGAGGCGTAGGTCATGTACACGAAGCCGTCCTCATCCCTGTAGTCCCTGTAGACCTCTGCCATGGTCATGCTCATGCTGACCGTACTCTTGTTGTTCACTAGCAAGTAAAAGGCTTCAGTGGCCCCGAGGACCATGTGGCTTCTGGGGTGGGGAGGGGGCAGGAAGGGAGAAAGTTAACCTGGTGTGGGAAGAGCACAGAGCCAAAGCCTTACCTCTGTAGGCCACTGTAAACACGTCTATCCAAGATGCCCACCTCCCTACACTGTTGTGTCACCTCAAACTTGAGAATCACCCAGCAGAGGCTATTGAAAATGCACATTCCTGGGCTACCCCCACCCCTCCCAGAAGCAGCCTAGGAATCTGCAGCATTGTGATGCTCAAAGACACTGAATTACTCCATGTTTCTTCCTTGGGCAGAAAGGGGCAGGCCTTCCCATCATTAACTAGGAGACACACCAACACAAACATGCCAAGTAAGGAAGCTCCTCTTTGCTCTGAAATTAAAGGTAAGTATTTCCTCAGAAGTACAAAGGGAACCCCAATTTCTTCCAGCATCTCATGTTAAACAACCTTGGGTGACCTTTAGAAGGGACCTGCCGCCTCGCCTCTCAGTGAGTGCTCCCCCCACCCCCTGTCATCAAGGAGATAGCAAAGCATTAAAGTTCATCTGGACATGCTTTACATGTCAAGGTCAACCTGAGTCCTGATTTACCTGGAGCAGAGGACAGCATGACAACGTAACACTCGGGTAAAGGCTCAGCCTCACCTGAAGCACACATCCATTCACTGTAGTTGGGGAGGCAGGCACAGACTGCCCACTCCAGCCTCAGAGCTCCGGTGAGCTAGGTCCATGTGGCAGTGGGAGGCAGGGGTGGCTGGACCCTGAGTAATTTCACAACCAGATAGTCCCCCCCCAGAATAACCCTAAAGGTTTTAGCTCACAATTGCACTGCTAGTCTTTGGGTAAAAAAGAACTGTTCTGCAATGGGAACAGGTAGAGCTGGCTAGGAGTGAGCGTGTGGCCATTGACTCTAAAGGAAGCTCTGTTCCCTCAGCCCGTTCCTCCGTTTCCTGTCTTTGCCTTGCTCTCTCGTGATGAGGGTCATGGCATCCCCCTGGGGGAGAAGGCTGCGGGCAGGAATGTGTGTCCATTCTGCTCACTGCTGTGAACACAGAGCTCAGACAACACTCGGAACATAGCTGGTGCCCAATAAACACTGAACATCAAACGGGAATTGGGTGGTGGAGAAGATAGGAGGGCCTCTGACTGGAAAGGGGAGGAAGAATGGCTCTCAGAACTCAAAGAGCTGCTGCGGGGAGGGGAGTCACCTAATGTCGCATGAAGTTGTTGGGATCTAATCCTAACTCACGTGCTCCCTCGGTTATCTGCATTCACACTGGACTGACCTAAGCCTTCCTGAGGAGAAGGATCCAAATAATTCTACTCATCGAAACAAATAGAACAGAGACAAGCATATTTGTATTGTAGTCTTGAAACAAGCTGCAGCTGTTACTGGGCTTCCAACGGCTGGCCCCTCCAGACTTCAACCCTGTAAAGTACCGAGCCATGTTCGTGTTACTCCCTAGTCATTTGTAGTGAATCCATGGGTCAGGTGACACCACTTCACTGTCTTAAACTTTAAAAGTAGCTATGACTTCTTGGCTGGGCCCTAACCCAAGGGAGGAATGTGTTCTGGGGATACCTTCCTTGTCCCTGTTGTCAGACTTCTGAACGGTGCAGACAGCATTTGCCTTTTGAAAAGCTCCCCACTCCCCAGGCTTGCACACTCTGAAAAGGTGCTGTGTCTCTACTGGGAAAACGCTGGCTGGGTTTTCCACACTACCAGGAAGAAAATATCTTCTGGACTCACTTCGGAACCAAGACGACTTTAGGAAATTCTTAGAAATGTTTGCAGCTCTGACTGTCGTTAGGTTTGCGTATCACAGAGATTCTCCCACCTGTTTAAAATAGATGAATCTTCAGAGCATCTTTTCTGGGCACTACAGAACCTAAAAGGTGCTGGGTCACAAAGAAAACCCTTTTCCTCTCTTCTCAAAACCAAACAAGCTATCAAAGCAAACAGAAAAAGCCCAGGACCAACAACACCCCCCACCACGTGCACCTTGTCGCCTACCGGATGATGCTGAGGAACTGGGTCATGGTCAGCTCCTGCGGGACCAGGAACTTGGTCTTGTCCAGCAGGGGCAGGAACTTCTCCCTGGAGTAGCGCTCCACTACCACCTGTCGAGAGTTTCAGCCCCTAAGAACGTGACTCAGAGCTCTCAGTATCTTAGAATCTTAGAACAGGGAGAGAGAGTGGAGCTTTCGTTCTTCTTGTTATTGATTTATTATTTATTGCCCCCCCCCCGAGGAACAGAGCAGTATACCCCTTTTCCAAAAGTACAATAGAGCCTTACCGGGATCTTGTTTGGGAACTTTGCCCGGATTCCAGCCACTTCCTCTTGTCTGGTTGCTGTGAATAGTTCAAGTTCAAAAGAGTAAGTAATCGGCAAGAGAAATCGGTACCCTTTCCCCCTCCCTGTCTGGTAACCCAGACAGCTACCCCAGAGCTTTACCCAAACTCTTCCTCTGCTTGAATGGTCTGAGGCTTGGGCTTTTCTGCGGAGTCTGCATTTTGCTCAACAGCTCTGTCTGTGTCTGACTTAAAAAAAAAAGAAAGAAAAAAAACCCCACAGCCAGGACCTAACGCATTCCTCCAGCTGCTTTCAGCCCGCCTGCAGGAGCGTACAGGAGGCCCTTATGTAGGGCTGTGTGACATCAGGCCTCTCCCTCTCGCCTTCCCTCCTCCTTACCCCCTCCCTGTACAGGAGGAGGTCAGCTCTGAGGATGTAAACGGGACAGCCACCTGCTTATTGGTCAGAGAAAGTCACTTTGCTCATGACCAGTTCAAGATATTTTGTTTTTTCTGGAGAAATTAGGGTTCATAATAAAATGAGTGACTATGTCATCAAACAGCCTGGGTCTGGGCTGAGGAGTCTGGAGAGGTGCAACTGCCGTTTGCAAAGGACCTTTTTGTACTTTAGTAATGAGCCATCTTGAAGGAAGGCCAAGGGGAATCCACCTGATGCTGAAACAAGCTGTGTAATTCTCACAACAGTCCTTGCCATTTTTCCCAGAGAGAAAACGATGATCAGAAATGTTAAGGAATTTGCCCAAGGTCACACAGCTAGTAAGAGAGGCAGCTGGGATTAAAACCTATATTTGGTGCAAGGTAGTGCTACACTCCAGTATATTCTGTTATTTTATCTTCTCTGCAATTTTAAAGGAGGAAAGGAAGTACCGTTACTGCCGCCAAGATCTGCCTTTAAGCGATAAGGAACAGAGGCCCGTAGATGTTAACTGATTTGCTTGGGACCAAATGGCAGATAAGACACAGCTCTCGCAGGACACAGAGTCCGGGGCTTGTCTCTGATTCATATGCCATTTAGCTGTTTTTTAGACTCAGCATGAGCAGAAGTTTCATGTGTCCCTCATTGATTTCTCAGCAAGGTCATTCAACAGGGTGAGGAGTCTTCGAATGAACAGAGTGCCGTAAAGCAAGATGATGACACGTCCTCCACATCTGCTGGGTGAATGAAAGGGAGCAGGTCTCGGGGCTTTAGGTTAGTGATCAGGGATGGCACCACTGAAGAGACAGGTGGCCTCATCCTCTCTCATTCTCTGTCTCTCTCTCTCTCAATAATAAAGGGCAGGTATGTAGTGCACTTCTGGAGTCAGGTGGCTTTCAAATCCACGATCTAGTTGAAACCATTGCCTTGCAGGGGTAGGAAGGGCAGGTAGAATGAGCACTTTGCAGACCCACATCTACCCAGAATGCACTGAGGTGGGGGCCAACCCAGACTGTCCAATTCCTAGAAGTGGGCTCAGCATCCTGGACCAGGAAAAGCTGGTCCCAGGCCTGACTCTCCCTACTATCACCTCCATTTCTGATCTTGGATCAATTATTTCACTTTACTAAGTATGTTTTTCCTTTTTGCAAAATGATTAGTTTTACCTAATTAAAGTGGTTAGTTTTACCTAATTCAGAATATGTGGATGAGACTTAAATGAACTGATTTATGTAAAGCAGCTATTACAGTGCCTGGGACCAAATCTGATGCTCAGTGCATGTCCCTCTCTCTCTCCCTGCCACCCCCCTCCCCCCATGCCTCTCCAAAGCCCCCACTATCCCAGGAAAATTTACATGAGTTCAGGTTTGAAGGCTGAAGGAAATAGCACTGGGTTGGGGGCCAGGGGAAAATAACCCCCAGCTGCATTGTTTGGCCAATCATTATTGGGGCTTTGAGATATTTCCTACCTGCCCAGCATTTCACTTTCTCAGCTGGCACATGGGATTATTATTTCGGCCCAGTCTACCTCTCGGGATGCAGTGGGGTGATAGAATAAAGGACTTGGGAAAATATTAAAACGTAGCAATACTCAGAATGTATCATCATTCAGCAGAGCAATGGGCTAGATTGTTTCTCTTTTGTAGAAAAGTTTCTTTTTTAGAAGAGCAGAATGTCCATGCGTGCTGTGGGACCCAATCACGCTCCTCTGAACCTAGTTGGCCAGAAAGTGACCAAAGTCACATGACGTCAATGCCACACAGATTTTGCAGGGAAGGAGATAGGAACAGCACTGTGGAAAATGGCTGGTGCCAGAGTGCTGTCTGCTGATATGTTAATAAACAAAACCAACATTGCCCATGATGTACAGTGAGAAATATGCTTCTTAGAATTTTACCCGTCCCGCAGACAAAGCACGTGAAACACACGAGCTGGCTGAGGCCATGTTGCTTCGCTCTACCCCACACTCTCACCCACTCTCATACCTCTGTCTTCTCAGATCCGTGTACTGGGAAGTGGGCTGGTGACAGGACACTCGAGTCCTGGTACTAAAGAGAGTGAGCTAGTAAAATAAGAGGTGGCAAAGAGTGGGACACTTGCTGTTGGGTTAAGGAGGGTTTATTCCCCTCCCCCCATAAACATGTCTATGCCCCACCCACTTCTTAAAAGAGCAACCAGTCAACTTTCTCTTGCCTCCTCCAGACATGGGTCTGTCATGGAAAGAAACACTTCGAAAACACACCTGGGCTCTCCATCTTGCTTGCTTAACTTCTTTGAGCCCTCATGTTATTCCTTAGCAGAATGAATGTGCTTTCTCATCTCCCAGAGTTGGGTGAAGATTCAATGTGGGAACCTGCGTGATGTACACAGATATATGGGATGACTGTAGGAGCTCATCAATATGAGCTCTCTCATACTGTTCCTGTCCTGTGGTGCTGGGAGCTCAGCCCCCTCTGCTCACGCTTTCTGAACCTCTTCTCAGTCTTTCCACTGAGCTCACTGCCTCTCCGCTCCTGAAACTGCTGCAGCCTGGAGCCTGTCCCAACACTAATGCATGCTCTCAGGAGGTCAGCAATGATACACACAAGCACCTCTGTTGAGTCCTTACCTTATTTGCTCTTTCATCTTTCAGCATGGGGCATTGTGCATTTTCTCCTTCCGACAGCTTTCGTCTTTCAGATTCCAGGATACCACTTTCTTGGGATTCATCTCCCCCGTCTCCTCCTTTCTCCAGCTGCCTCTCCCTCATGTGCAGAGCCAGCTCTCCTCAGAGTCCCTAAGGAGATAAATGGAATATCCATTTATCCATAATAAATTCACATTTATTATGTGAGTAAAAACTTGTCTGTATTTCTTGCCCTGTAGCAATCGCATGCAGCTGTGTGTAACAGCAGCCTATTCACTGTGTATAGGGGGCTTTCACATGAGCCCCCTAGGTTCCCTATCCTTCCAACCCCATTGCTGCCCAAGCCCCTGATATGTACGAAGTTTACAGTCACCAGTGCTGCTCCTCCTGTCTCTTGATCTTGGCATTACCCCAGGGCCACCCAGTCCTCTTCTTGCTCTACATCTTTTTCTGGGATGATATGAACCATTGCCGAGGAGTTTCCCCAGGTGACTTAGTTTCTCCACTGCGAGTTAACATAAGCCTGTCCCTTGGGAAATGTGGGTGTGTGGAGCTCAAGGCGTGACTAAGACAGATCCATCTTGTTCCTGTCCTGCCCTATTGTGGCTGCTATCATTCATCCCTCCGGGCTACACGTTCTGATTCTAGTGGGAAACAGGATGGACTGTTATAGCACCATGGAAGTGAAAGGTGCGCATCTAAAGTCAGAGGCCACCGCGGGCTGAGGGGCTGAGTAGAAGGAAGTCTCCACCACTGTGTCCACTTCAGGGAGGAGAGAGGTTCTGGACGCTGCCACAGAATGTCACCTGACTCCTTCAGTACACTGCCTGGACTTTGTGGCTTCACAGGGGCTGTGGGGGCACGGAGGGTGGTGAGCAGATAGGAGATGAATGACAGAGAAGGACTCCTGCTGCCGGCCAGAGGCCTGGACTTCCCACCCTGATATGACTCACTTGGGATGGGAAGGCAACCTCAAGGTGGAATTTCAAGGCAGAAAGCTAAAATTCAAACTTGATTTCATTCCATTTTATTTTTTGCTTTTTATCATCAAGTACCCTTTAAGAGGCTGCTTACCAGTAAGACTTGTTTATCTGATTTATTTCCCAGTCCCAAATTAGCCACCAAATTATGAAGCCACGTGAACTCACTGTTTGTTTACTCAACCTGTAAAACGCTGCCATTTCTATTGTCCAAGAACCAAAGAAACCCACAATAGCTATTAAATGACTGAGGGCAGGACTTGCCTGTCTGCGTCCTCAGTAGCACAGAGCCTGGCATCTAGCTCATGTTCCATAGACATTAAATGGATATACCTGCATGCAAATTGCTAACACAGAAAAGTGTCCCATCACATGGTGGTGTTGCCTGCAGCCTGCATGCAGGAAAGGCAAGTTCATATCCAGACGATGTGTCATTACAGCCAGGATGAATCGCAGCCTCTTTCAGCAGTGAAACGAGGCTGATGTACATCGCTACCGAGTGGTTGGGCTCCTTGAGAACTGTGTTTTAATGGGGGTTAAAACCCAAAAAAGGTAATCAAGTATTGCATTCCCTTCTTCATAGTGGAAGGGGGGATATGCAATAATTTGCCCTTGACTTTTGAGGGGTTGTCCCAGCATGCCCAGACCACTGATTCCCCCAAATCTTCACTGATTTTGATGGTGTTCCTGAGTTGCTGAAAGATTTATAGCCCCCCTCTGGAATGCATGTGCCTTACAAAGGCTTCTAATGTACATGCTACTTCTTGCTCATCCGATCGGATGAGCATCGTATCATTGATACAGGGGACTGATGCTGTATTACTTGGGATGTCTAGACAATCTATTTCTCTTTGGACCATAATATGACAGAGGGTAAGAGAATTAGCATAGCCTCGGAGCAAGCTCATTAATATATATCATTACCTGTTCCAAGTAAATGTAGAATGTTTTTAGTTCTTTTAGACAGGGATGGAAAAGAATGCATTTGCAAGATCAACGCCATACATCATGTGTCTGGGGCTGTGTTGATATTCTCCAGCAAATATCCTACATCTGGCACAGCAGCTGCGGTTGGGGCTTCTCCTTGGTTGAGCTCCCAAGAGTTAGCCTAGCGTCATGGTTGGGTCATCGTCTTCTAAGTTCCTTGCCCGGCTATCAAATCCATATAGTGAGGAAATGCTCCTGTATTAATTACCTCTCTGTTATCTAACTTTACACTCCATGTCTTCCCACTATACACACCTCCT